ACGACTTGTGGCACAAGGATTTTCACAAAGACCTGTCATTGATTATATGGAGACATATTCTCCTGTGGTGGATGCAATCACTTTCAGGTATCTTATAAATTTGGTAGTCCATGAAAAACTTGATATGCATCTAATGGATGTTGTTACAGCCTATTTATATGGCACATTAGATAACGAAATTTATATGAAAATCCCCGAAGGCCTAAAGTTCCCGAAACTAATAAAAGTTTTCGAGAAACTTGTTCAATAAAGCTTCAAAAATCCTTATACGGATTGAAACAATTAGGGCGAATGTGGTATAATCGCCTGAGTGAGTATTTACTGAAAGAAGGATATAAGAATGATCCAATTTATCCTTGTATATTTATAAGAAGGTCTGGATCTGAATTTGTTATAATCGCTATGTATGTTGATGATCTAAATATCATTGGAACTCCTGGGGAACTTCCAAAAGCAGTAGATTATTTGAAGAAAGAGTTTGAAATGAAAGATCTTGGAAAGATAAAATTTTGTCTTGGTCTACGAATTGAGCATATGAAAGATGGAATTTTTGTCCATCAATCAACTTATACCGAAAAGATCCTAAAGCGTTTTTATATGGATAAAGCACATCCATTGAGTATCCGGATGGTTGTGAGATCACTTGAAATAAATAAAGATCCATTCCGACCTCATGAAAATGATGGAGAGCTTCTTGGTGATGAAACTCCATATCTTAGTGCAATTGGGGCACTAATGTATCTTGTAAATAATACTCGACCAGATATAACTTTTGCAGTAAGTTTATTAGCAAGATTTAGTTCCTTTCCAATAACAAGACACTGGAATGGTGTTAAGCATATTTTTAGATACCTCCGAGGGACTATTGATATGGGATTATTTTATTCTTATGAATCCGATTCACAACTGATTGGTTATGCAGATGCAAGTTATTTGTCTAACCCACATAAAGCCCGATCTCAAATAGGCTATCTATTTAGTTGTGGGGGTACAACTATTTCATGGCGTTCAACAAAACAAACTTTAGCTGCTACATCTTCTAATCATGCAGAGATAATAGATATTCATGAAGCTAGTCGAGAGTGTGTATGGTTGAGATCAGTGACTCAATATATTCAACAATTGTGTGGTCTTTCTTTCAAAACGAAGATTCCAACGATATTGTATGAAGATAATGCTGCTGTAACGACCCGATCGGTCGTTTTGAGCTCTATCGCGTCGTTCAGCAGTTTGAGGCCATGAGTAGCTTCACTTCAGGTATTATGACTTGTACACATGGTCGGAATTGAATTTCGGGAAATTTGGAGTTGATTTGGAAAGAGAATTCTCATTTCGGGAGTTTTAAGTTGAAAGAATTAACTAAGAGTGGATTTTTGAGTAAACGACCTCGGAAATTGGGATTCGAAGGTTCCAGCAGGTTCGTATGATGATTTCGGACTTGGACATACATCCGGATCAGGTTTTGGAAGACCCGGGAACATTTCGGCACCTATTGTGAAAGTTAGAATTTTTAGAAGAATTTCATAAGTTTGGGTTGAAGTGCATTTCAGTGTTATCAATGTCTGTTTGGCATTCTGAGTCTGGGAATAGCTCCGTATGGTGATTCTGGTGTTGGGAGCGCGATCGAAAGTGGATTCGGCGGTCTGTGAGTCATTTTGAAGTCATTTGGCTAAAGATAGAAATTTGAAGGTTTTTGAGAAGTTTGACCGGAAGTGGACTTTTTGATATCGGGGTCGGAATATGATTTCAGAAATTAGAGTAGGTCCGTAATGTCAAATATGACTTGTGCGCAAAATTTGAGGTCAATCGGACGTGATTTGATAGGTTTCAACATCGAATGTAGAAGTTTGAAATTTTAAAGTTCATTAAACTTGAATTGGAGGGTGATTCATGATTTCGATGTTGTTTGATGTAATTTGAGGCCTCGAGTAGATCCGTGTTAAGTCATGGGACTGGTCGGTAGGTTTGGTTGAGGTCCCGAGGGGCCTCGGGTGTGTTTCGGATGCTCAACGGGCATTTTTAGCCTTGTGGGTGATTGCTGATTTTCTGGTGTTAGTGCAGCAGATTTTTACTCTATGCGATCACATGGAGAGGAGTGCGATCGCATAGTGCAAAATTTGGAGGCTGCTGTTTTGGCTTATGCGAACGCATGGAGAGAAGTGCGATTGCATAGTGCATTTTAGGGGCTGCTGGATTTTTGGCTTATGCGATCGCGGGGAAGATTGTGCGATCACATAGTGCATTTTGGAGGCCGCTGGGATTTGGCTTATGCGATCGCGGTTGGAGGAATGCGATCGCATAGAAGGGTCTCCTGGGCAGTGAAGTGTTTTAAAACGGTTTTGGCTCATTTTTATCTCAAATCTTTCATGGGGGTAGATTTTTGTAGAGCTTCAAGTGGGTATTTTCGTCATCTATGTCAAGGTAAGTTGTTCCTACTCATTACAAGCTAAATACAAGGTTTGTATATGGATATGGTCAAGGAAATTTGTAGAAATTTAGGGTTTTGAGGAAGACCTAGGAATTTGATATTCTTGAATTTTGATCACGATTTTGGGCATGAAATTGAGAGCAAATCATATATTTGAGTTCGTGAGATTATGGGTAAACTTTATCTTCTAAAATTTTTGGAATCCGGGCACGTGGGCCCAAGGAAAATTTTGTCAACTTTTCGATCGGGGTTAGGAATTGTTATAAATTGGATTATAATGAGTAATTGTACATATATTAATGAGTTTGCATAATTATTGACTAGTTTTGGAGCATTTTTGCATCGAATTGAGTCTTCGGAAGGGCATGGAATGTCGGTTATGGAACTTCGGAGCAAGGTGAATCTCCTTTCTAACCTTGTAAGAGGGAATTGTTCCCATAGGTGAATTAACTGGATTTGTGCTTCTATTTTTGGGGGCTACATACACATGAGGTGACGAGAGTCCGTGCATAGCTACTATTATTTTTAAGTCTGGGTAGTCTAGGACTCAAAACATGCTATACTTGGAATATTTGTAATTATTGACAGTTTGAATTGCTTAAATCACATCGAATTAGTAAATGAATTTCTGAAAGGATTAAACTTCATTTTCTTAAATTGTAAAAAGAGAATTGACTTTTCTTTGGATAATTGTCCCTGTTGACTTCTTGATTGACTGTCTGTATGTGTTTAATTTCGGAATGGGCCGAATGCCTCGGTAGATTAAATAGATGCAGCTATGGTTCGCGCCATTCGACCCTCTGGCAGTGCACAATTTTAATATTGTTGGATCGGGTCGTACGACCTCGACATGATTTGCGCATGCTTGTATTGCTTGCCTTGAGATTTATGGAAATTGATATTTGTTCTCCCTGACTTGAGATAAATTGATAATTAATAGATTATGAATTCGGAGACTTTTAATATAAAAAGGAACGTTTACCTACTTCGTGACTTATTTGAATTTACTGCCGTTTTAATAGATCCATGATTATTCGTATTAATAATATATTACTATTGGACCACTAGTAAGTGTCGAAGTCGACCTCTTGTCTCTACTTCTTCGAGATTAAACGAGATACTCACTGGGTACACATTGTTTTCATACTCATACTACACTTGCTGTGCATTTTTGCTGCACATGTTCATGTGTGGTTAGTGGCTTAGTGGCATAGCGGCATGGTTGATACAGAGACTTAGGTGAGTTGTATTTATCGAGACGACCCGCTGCCGGTAGAGTCTCCTTCAGAATATCGTATTGTATTATTTCATTTCTGTCCACTTTGTATTCCGGACAATTACTGTATTTTATTTCATTCCCTAATTAATGCTCATGCACTTGTGATAGCGGGTTCTGGGATAATTATGGGTTATTTGTATTAATTCCAAACATTTTTATTTAATTTGAAACAGTTATCTTTTACTAGTACAATTGAAGGAAAAACCATAGTTTTCAACATTATTAAAACAAGGCCTAAATTAAGTATTTATGATTGCCTTGCCTGACAGCGGCGTCCGGCGCCATCGCGACCCTTAGTGGAATTTGGGTCGTGACAGCTGCTTGCATAGCTCAACTTAAATGAGGATATATCAAAGGAGACCAAACAAAGCACATTTCACCAAAGTTCTTTTTCACACACGATCAACAAAATGGTGAGATAGATGTTCAGCAAATCTGTTCAAGTGACAATCTAGCAGATTTATTCACTAAGGCATTGCCAACATCAACATTTGAGAAGCTAAGACATAAGATTGGAATGCGTCGCCTCCAAGATATCAAATAAAGCTTTCATGAGGGGGAGTATAATACGCGCCGTACTCTTTTTCCCTTAACCAAGGTTTTGTCCCAAGTGAGTTTTCCTGGTAAGGTTTTTAATGAGGCAGCACTCAATGCGTATTACAAGATGTGTGTACTCTTTTTTTTTCACTGGGCTTTTTCCCACTGGGTTTTTTCTAGTAAGGTTTTAACGAGGCACATTATCTTTCAAATGAACATCCAAGGGGGAGTATTATAAATAAAGTGAATGTATATGTATGCTCATTTAATCCATCCATACATTCTATACAATGTACTACTTGGATAGATGCACCTATTAATTCCTAGGATGTATCTAGTGAGTTTTGGGTGTATCTTGTATAGTATAAATAGGATATTCTTTGCCTATATGAAAGAATACACAAGAAACACACTTGAATAAGATAACTTATACATTCTCCTCCTATATATCTTGTCTTTATAACTATATTATTCTATTTTGCTCTCATTTCTTAACATAGTTCAATTTTTTATACCTCAATTCGCATAAAATAAGTATTTTAATCCTTATATACAATACATAAATTGGGACCGAGGGTGTAGTACCTTTTTGAGAAATGACAAAAATAGTCCCTTAACTTTGGGAGTAGGTTTATGATGGTCCTTTAAATATAGACCTTTTAGTTTCAATCCTCTATAGTATTATTCACAAACTAGAAAATTTTGGTCTCCATCCATTTTTTAACTAACACCGTTTTTTTTTTCTTTCCATTCCATGTCAATAAGTAGTCATTACATCAAACTGCAAAAAATCCCACCAAACTGCACAAAATTCAACAAAAATCCGGACATAAACTGTGACCATGAGGGAGCACTTATAGTCTAGTTTTAAATATCATGCAGTTTATTTTGCAAAGATAAGACCAAACAAGAATCCGGTAATTGCCTAGGTGCTGTCGGTGCTTCGTTCTCCGGCGAGGTAGTTCGGCCAAAAATGATCTACTCTCAACTAAGAAGAGAGAAAATTTCCCTTTTTTCAGTCTCTGAAACCCTTCATGTCCTAGAGCTGTATTGTAAAATCAGAAGGCAAAAATAGCCATTCGGTTGTTGCCTACATTTCACAAAAAATTGTGAGTCTTTGCCTTGTATTTATTTTTCCAAACTGGAGGAAGATGAAGCGGTCAGGAGACATCGCAAAGATGGCCTTCACTCCATTTGTGGAGCTCTTATTGAGTTCTAAAGAAACTAACACCGTTAGTTTAAAATATGGATGGAGACTAAAATTGTTTAGGTTTTGAATACTTAATGGACTAAGATTGATAGGTGTATATTTAAAAGACCATTATAAACCTACCCCTAAAGTTAAGGGACCATTTTTGTCATTTCTCGTACCTTTTTATGAAAAGGGTAAATTTAGCACTATATTTTGGGAAAAACCTGAAAAATCAAAACGTGTCTCACAGCCTCAAAGTTCTGGAGCTGCTACTTCCGGTCTGCACGCCGTTTCAAGAATCTCCGTGAAGAAGTAGCATAAGGTCGTTGAATTTGAGGTTTTTCAAATGTTCAGTAAGTGAAAACTTCAACCAATCAAGAACTGATTTTTATTTGGATATTTACTTAAAAAAGAAGAATACGTATTTTTTTTTTTTGGTATTCAAATGCTTGTCTTTGCTGCTTCCTTTTTGTAATTTTGATGCAAACATGAGGGGAAAAAACCCATGAATTGGTGGCATATTCATAATGATTTCTCATATTAAAGGAAAAAAAGGTGTTTTGGGTATAGTGATTGTTTTACTGTGGCATTTTTGTGGTACTAGTTGAAACTTAAACTTGAGGTACAAGGACAGAATTTTATTGTTACTAGCTTTGTTAATTCCTTCCTATAAAAAAAATAAACTAGCTTTTTTTGGTTGTAAACTTGTTTTATTTTTAGTAGCTCTGTGATTATGTAAATTGTTTATTTTCTCTTTGATATCTGAAATGGATTAGTTCTTGCAAGAAGTTTTAGGGAAAAAATTTGGTAACTAGCTTATTTGTGCTTATACAAATTCATCTATGTAACTTAGTAATGGTTCTTCATCAGTGGAATCGAGTATACTGTACAGTTTTAATTACTCGTGCCACCCCAAAAAGGATGATACTTTTCGGATTTCAAGACTCGGACAAATTGTTCTTTGATCGCAACTTTTTCATATGCCTTTTAAATATTTTGAATTGTTAATTATTGTGATTTATAGTATGTGGTCAAACTTTATTTCAAGAAACTTCAAGATTCTATGTCTGAATTTGCGTTCAAAATTAAGATGTTTAACTCTCGAAATCCGAAAAGTATAATCCTTTTTGGGATGGAGGGAGTAACATTTTCATATTATAGTTTGTCTCTGCCTAGACGTTCCCTTTATTCTGCAAAAAATGCAGCGATTTAAGATTTGAACTTTGTTCATAAACTCTTGGCTCGGTGTTATATGAGGCATGTACTAAGAAATACAAAGGGGGTCTCATTTGAACTGCATTTGTTATTGACCTTGTTTTGTTTGGATTAGAAAACAAGATGGGGGGAGCATTTTTAGGCATGCCAGGATCATGGGCAGGTCATATACACGAAGCTGCTGATCATTATACAACAAAAATCGGTGGACTTCCTGTAAGAGAATCCTTCTGGATACGGCATAGTTTATTGTTAGATGATGCTTTCTTTTTAAAAAATAATTATAATTCTATTTTTTTTCTTGAACAGGATTGGCCTATTCCTCTTCCTACCACATGTGTTGATTTGCTCAAATGCAGTGCTTGCAAAAACGATTTATGTCTTCTTGCACAGGTTGGTACTCGGAAACCATTTGGCTAATTTTTGAATTACTTGAGTACTTGTATTTTAAAGCTCTAGAATTTTTAAGTACTTTTCTCCTAGCGTTTTTCCTTAGGTTTATGCTCCAATTTCAAAGAAAAATTTGAACATTGAAGAGCGTGCAATCTATGTTTTTGGTTGTTTGGCGCCAGAATGTGGGAGTGCTCCTGTAAGGTCTTTTTTAGTATTCAAACTTATTGTCTTTTGTAAAATGCTTGGGAGCTTTGTAATCATTTGGATTTAACTTCTGTGGTCTATCTATTACATTTCCGTGACAGCTGGAGAGCTATTAGAATCCAAAAGTCTCTAAGCAGTGAAGGTTTAAAGAGCCAGTCTTATAAGGATGTCGCTTCACCTGTATCTTCTGTATCAGATTCAAAGAAAGACCGGAAGAAGGATATATGGACATTTGACTCTTCGGAAGAGGATGATGATGATGACATTGATCTTGCTGAGTTGGCTAGGGCAATTTCTGAAGCTGCATCCGTGGCTTCTCACTCCAAGAAACAAATCCGTGGTCATGAAGTAACGGCAGAAACTTCAACCCCTGACCTCGCGATTAGAGAACTTGATGAAAAAACACCAGGTAACTTCTGTTCTGTTTTGCTCGACGTTAATTGCACTTGATAGAATCTTTTGCTAGAGCCCCTTCTGTATGATGTGTGTAAGGTGTCTTTATTTAACTTTGCATGATAGAAGATGAGATCAAACTGTTTACTGGGTGCAGTCAAATTTTTTTTCTCATAAATTTAGCACTATGATAGAGAACACTAAAATTGAAAGATGTTTTTCATGGATAATGAAAATGGCATGTCTTATTGGTAAAACAATATGTAATTTGCTCATTGCTTTTCTTTCGGGGGAGGCAGTTGGTGCTGTTTCTTGATAGAAGAGCTAAATAGATCGATCAAGGGCCCAATGCGTGTATTTACTTTATGTACAAAAAAGTCGTTGAATTGCTGAGGAGTTGACAGCTGTCAAAAATTTAGGTCTTCATAGGCTATTATCAAGTGTTTTCAATGACATATGAGATATGCGATTATCACTGGGAGTATCATTTGTATGATTACTTTATCTTTCTGTGTACTCTGAAATGATTCTTTGGTCGCAGTGATTCCGTGCTTCTATATATATGCTGAGGAAGAGAAACTTTCCAAAAAGGATGCTTCTGTCAGTTCAAAAAGCATCTTATCTCCAATCAAGGACAAAGAAGATGATCCTGATACTCCAGAAGAAACATGGGAGGTGGAAGATTACGAGTATGATAGGGCATTGAATGCTGACCGGATTTACCTTAAGTTCAAAAAGCGATTAGATGCGTATCCAGAGCAATGTTTCAGGTAAAACTCTAAAAAGCTAGCCATCGTACTACTGAATTTACTTTTAAGTATTGCCTCCAGGAACTTAAAGTTTTGCTTGCTGGAGTAGACTTTGAGACGCAAAATCTCAGTTTTATTTACCTTTTTATTTCCTCCAAAGCAGTAAGCAAAGTCCAAGTTTAATGTACTTTTGATTTCTTGAAGTATGTAGTAAGCTTTCTGCCTTTCCTGCAGCTCTTCTAGCTTTCGGCTTTGATTACCTTATTCATCTCCAATTGTAGTGTATTACTATTTGTACAACTTAAATTACATGTTCAAATCTTCTCATGTTATTTCTTGCTGTATCATGTGTACATTACTGAAAAGGTTATTTCGGGCAGCGACGATATAACATCTTTCCTCTTATTTATTTGCATCGTCCACTGCACTTTATCCTGCCAAGATTTTCTCTCTATTAATTAGATATTGTTCCGGAAGTTGTTGCCTGGCATACTGTGATCGATCTACTGGGCACTTTTTGTTAGTCCACTCTCTATTTCGATGTCTTGTTGATAAATGGTTTAATGCGTTAGAAACTAGCTCGTATCTCTTCAATTTAGAGGTGGAACTTACATTTAATTCTTACTATGTTTAGAGAATAGCTCTGTTATATTTGACCTAATTTTCAGCACATTTATAAATGTAACTTGTGATGACATTTGCCAACTATTGTTTCACTACTCGTCTAACTTCAAAACATAAAACATGACATAAATCAATCATAATACAACCTTCTTATCATACTAATCACTCTAGTCTCACTCCAAAGTGCATGTTATAATATTCCTAACTTGTCGACTTTCGACGAAACTTATTTTCTTCAATTCTTTAAGCTTCTAAGACTTCCAACCTTCTTGGTACTTGTTATTCATGATTTTAAAAATTTTAAAACCTCCAAGTCACATGAGTAACTTACTTTATATACTTTCAAAGATGATCTCATTTCCAAGCTTACATCAGTTGACTTGCGACATGCTTTCGCATACGAAAATATGGGGTGTAACATCATGCCTTATCGGTCTGCAAACCTCACAATACTCCTTAACACATGTTTTAACTCATCATTATCTTGGTAAAAATCCTTAAACTCCCCAAGATATATTGATTCACTTAAGATGAATTCCAACTTCAAAGTACGGGGTGTAACAAGTCTAACCCTTGTTTTATCAGATGCTCCGCTACAAAGTTTTGAACAAGATCTTGCAAGGCTTTATTACCAAGGCACATGTCAAGACTTTTGAAGATGCATTGTTGATCAAACCTTCCATTCCACCAAGTATATATTCTGCCTTTGAACCCTAAGCCAGTTAATAGACAAGTCCTTATACAATGAACAAAATATTTTACCTCCTGATAATACACTGTAAGTCCACCAAATTTTTTAATTTAATAAACTATGACATTGAAATCCCCTCTAACTAACCTAGGAGACTTTATATGGGCAGCTTTTACATAATGAACGTCCCAAAATTCAATCCTTGTTTTTCCATTTGTGCTGGAATATACCATAGTCACAATAAACTCCTAGTTGCTATCAATGTTTGCAAGCTTCACGAAAAGTAACTCGGCAAAATATACGCTGCCTCAACTTGGAATTCATCATCCACGAAATGTCATATTTCATAATTTATATTATGCTAAGAAGATCCCTATAACGACCCGGTCGTTCATTTCGAGAGTTGTAGCCCTATTCCCCCATTTTCTACTTCATTTTATGGAGAGTATCATACTTTATGCTGAAAAAGGTAAATATATAAAACAGAGTAAATACAGAGTGTGTCATATAGTTCTCTGTTGGTTTAGGGGTCCTTTTCGTTTCTACAGAACAAGGTTTCTTTTATTTTTACCTCCTTACATCAGTTAATAATTAAATTATCACCAATTTCATTATCAGTGACTTTCATCCTTACTAAAAGACTCTTTTACTGTCTTTACACGTAGATACTCATATGGTGGAAAGCCGCTTCTAGCTTCTGGACATGCTGTTGATCCGGGGACGTGCAGGCTCTGTGGTGCGTTACGTCATTATGAGATGCAACTGATGCCTCCGTTGCTATATTTTCTGCAGGAAGCAGTCAGCGAGAAAGAGAGACCTGTTTTGGATAATTGGAATTGGATGACTTTAGTAGTCTATACTTGCTCACAGGTCAGCCTTTAACTTGGCATGTTGGATACATGTTCTTTTCAAAGAAAACTCCCGCACATTTTATTCTACACTTCCCTCTTTAGTTCTGGAAAAACAAATCAATCGTTACTATGTGTGGAGTAAAAATAAAGATAGACAACAAATTCTAGATTCTTGGTCGATGTATCATGAAGGGGAGCCTTAGCGTAACTGATAAAGTTGCTGCCATGTGACCAGGAGGAGGTTACGGATTCGAGCCGTGGAAAAAGCCTCTTGTAGAAATACATGGTAAGGCTGCGTACAACAGACCCGTGTGGTCCGGCCCTTCCCTGGACCCCGAGCATAGCGGGAGCTTAGTGCATAGGGCTGCCATTTTTTTGGTCGATGTATCATGTAAGAGAGGAATGTCCCCCTATGCGCGTCGGGCTGCCCTTTTGTTTGGTCGATGTATCATGTAAGAGGAATGAAATGTGACATTGATAGAGCAAAACAAAACCTACAGCAATAAAATTAAGAGGTTAGAAAGTAAGAAGTTGAATTGAAGGAAAACTTTAATAGCTTCTGACTTTCTACTTCAGCTTTTTCACTTCTTGAAATGTATCTACCATGGAACTGTTTTCTGCAGTTTGAATTAACTCATTTCCTCTTAATTCTTTTCTTTCTGCAAGTGAATGCTGATATTTGACTAAATTTAACTTGTAATCTATTTTTGTCGTTTGCTGTTTTTCTCCTAATATACCTGAACTATTCGTTTTTGTTGTTAATTGTGGACGATAGTTTATGCTCTCTATTTCTCCGAGTTCTTGTTGTAACCTCATGGTCTGTGTCATTTTCAGAATTGTTCAGAGTACCGTCTGGATAACTCTAGTGAGGATGGCTGGATTGTGGCTGAGGAAGCTGTTGTCGTACAATATGAATAGCATCGCTTAGATAAACCTAACGATTGCTTAAGGTTTTGTGATCTTTTAGTATATTTTCGTCTTACTTAGTGTATGCTAGCATGGCTGTCAGTCATTAGAGCCAAGGGCGGCTTTCTTTTTGCTTATATTATTTTTTTGAGTTCGCTGGTACCTGGTACGAGTTTCGTGTACTTGAGATGTAAATTGTCAAATGGCCCCAATATATTGGGTAGGCAATACAATTATATCTGTTGTTATAAACAATGCTCGATTCTGCGTGGATTCTTTATTTGTAACAATCTCCAAAATTTTGTGTGATTTTTCCTAAGTTGAGGCCATCCCATTTCGTTCGTTCAATATATACAGTAAATAATAAACACTGTATCATCCTCAAATTGAATAAGAAATAGAGAGAATGACCACCGCGGTAATACGTTCAGTAAATAAACACGATTCATCCATGTCTAACTACTCTGGATTCGTGTTGAGAAGTTCCGCTCTCGTGGGTAATGCGCTGATTCCGTATCAGGATTCAGCTCGAGACATCTGATAAAGGATAATGAAGTACTAACTATACATTATTGAAAGCATGCGACTATAAAAAAAGGAAAAATGACACTGTATTGTCACTTTTAAAATAATAACCGAAAAATTGTATATTTTTTGTATATATACATATACATTCTGTATGTTATGTACAAAAACTATGCAAATTTTATATACTTTTTCGGCTACCAAATATAAATAGTTTCTGGCGCGTGCTAAAAGTGATAATACCTTTAAAAAAGCACAAATTAAGTGAATACTGTCTGGATACAGCTGATAGTCGATTTTCTTTAATTTGTTGTTTTCAAAAGCACGTGCACTCACAATGGTAAGCTTTAGAGTACTTAGTTATGACCAATTCACTCATTTGACCAGTTTCAATTGCTTGTGGGCTATGAAGAAAGTAATATTCTTTCCTAATTTTTTTTTTCAGAAAAAAAAAAATAGCTTAATTATGTAATAAATATAGGTGGCGCCACTGGGAGAGAGAATATCAATTGAACGATGAAAATAAAACATAGTAGGTCATACTTAGAAAAAGGATAAAACGGCCAAGTACTATAATTATATGGATGTAAATTACATATAATGAAAGTGTTAATTCTTTTTTACATGTTCAATATAGTTTAACGTATCATAATAGATTAATATTTTTTTTTAATGTTACCAATTGATGTTTATTATAGAAATTTGCCTGTAATTACCTTAAATATTTGCATGCATATAACCTTGTACATTAACAGCTTGTTTGGATGGTCATTACCTATTGTATCGTATCGCATTGTTACTTTAAATACGATATTTTTTTTAGTTATTACTTAAATTTTATTGTATCGTATCGTTAAATCCATTGTTATATAACGACGAAATATGCTACTTTATGTAACGACCGATTTGGTGTGGTTGCGTCGTTATCTTGTCTTTTCCTCTCATCTCTCCCTTCACTATTATTAAATTAATTTTATTTTATTATTTATCCTACCTTTTTATATAATAAGTTACCCAGTATTATAATTTTTCTTTATAATATTGCAGATTTATTCTTCATATTGCTGGTGCATAATATCATGAAACAACGGCAAACGATACAATCAATCTAAACATTATATTCGTCTGCAAACGATACAATACAATACAATATAATACAATACGATACATTATGAAACGATGTGTAACAACCATCCAAACAAGTTGTAAGGGAAGTAATATCAACATTTACTTGTTTTTACGTGATGTTTGATACTTTGTGTTTTACTCCATTTCTAGTTTTGGTATACACATTTCTAGTTTTACTCCATTTAATCTAATCTCTGGCAGTTGGATCAAAACCATAATTTGCAGGAATCAACTACTAATGATTCACAAATAATTAAGACCATTCATTGACAGATGAAAAGTCGAAATCGTTCTGTGCATCTGTTGGCAATTAATTTCTCAACCATAATTAAGTTAGATTGTTAGGTGATAATATAATTAACATTTCACTAGAATAGGAGATTTCTTGTAGCAGTAACAATATATAATGCTATACATTTTAAACTCTCACGATGCTAAACGATAATGGGACTGAAGTCTATTTTAGAAGTTGCTTATATATATGGGTGACAAACGTGCGGGTTAGGTTGGATATGAGACAGGTCACAATAGGTAATGGAAAAAAGGATAAATTATCCGACCCGACCCATATTTTGTTGAGTTTCTTTTTAATATAGAAAGATATTAAAAAGAGGATGAATGAGAAATGGAGGGAAATGAAAATTTTGAGTAAAATTTTAAGTTTTCCTCTCTTTTTANGGGGGCGGGTCTCACAACTGACTGCTATAAATATGAGCAGCAGCAGTTGGAGAATGACATACCAAAAACAGAATTGAGAGCTATTGATCTTCTCTTCACCGAAAACTCAACGTTGGCTATAATTTGCATTTCTTCCTACTAGGAGGGGATTAAATTCCTTAAGAAAATACTGTGAATTCAGTGAGCTCGAATTAATTTCTGTTTCATTTATATCATTTATATTTACGTTTATAAGCTAACGTTCTAATTTCCAGAATCATTATTTACAAATACAGGTTTACCAACAAGCTTAAGGAATTTAATAATTTTAATTTCTGTATTTGTGTTATTCTTATTATTCTGGAAACTAAAACCTTTGTGGTTTTTGTGTACTCTCGTTTGGAGAGTAAAACCTTCGTGGCGTTTTGTTGGAGATTAAAATCTACGTGATTTTTTACTCCAGTTTTAAACGTTTGTTTGTGTCATTTTTTACAGAAAAAATGGCGAATGACAACGGAAATCAAGCTGTTCCGATGGTGACTGCCAACGCATCGACAAGCCGAACACCGGCTTTGGCACCGGCAGAAAAACCCGAAAATTTTTTCGGGATTGATTTCAGGCATTGGCAGCAGAAGATGTTCTTCTACTTGACTACATTATGTCTACAGAAGTTCATCAAGGAAGATGTTCCTGATCTGCCCGATGAAACTCCAGAGAATGAACGCTTTCTCATGATTGAGGCGTGAAAGCATTCTGACTTTTTGTGCAAGAATTATATTCTTAGCGGACTGGATGATAATCTGTATAATGTATACAGTGGCGTGGAGACGTCAGAAGAATTGTGGAATGCGCTTGAAAAGAAATACAAAACTGAAGATGTCGGGATGAAGAAATTCGTCGTTGCAAAAATTTTGGACTACAAAATGGTAGATAGCAAGTCTGTTATTACCCAAGTCCAGGAATTGCAAGTGATTATTCATGATATACTTGCTGAAGGTCTTATCATCAATGAAGCATTCTAAGTAGCAGCAATAATTGAGAAGTTGCCTCCACTGTGGAAGGACTTCAAAAATTACTTGAAACACAAACGAAAGGAGATGTCCCTTGAAGATCTCATTGTTCGATTGAGAATCGAAGAGGACAATAAAGCAGCTGAAAGGAAAGGTCGTGGAAATTCAACAATAATGGGAGCAAATATTGTTGAAGATAACAAAAAGAGAAAGAAGGCTTCTGGTCCGAAATACAACCCAAGCAAGAAGCGGTTCAGTGGAAACCGCTACAACTGTGGGAAAATCGGACACAAATCTACAGAGTGTCGTGCTCGGAAGAAAGACAAGAAAATGGGTCAAGCAAACATGGTAGAAAAGCATGATAATGTTGATGACTTGTTGCCATGCTTTCTGAATGCAACCTGGTAGGAAACCTTAAGGATTGGTGGATTGATTCTGTAGCCACTCGCCATGTTTGTGCTGTGATGGAAGCATTTTCTACATATGCTTCTGCTGTACCCGAAAAGACACTTTGTATAGAAAATGCTGCTACAACAAAAATTGAAGGATATGGTAAGATATTTCTCAAGATGACTTCTGGCAAGGTCATGACTTTGAACAACGTCCTTCATGTTCCCGAAATTAGGAAGAACTTAGTCTCTACTGGACTTCTTGTAAAACACAGTTTCAAGTGCGTTTTTGTATCTGACAAGGGAGTGATAAGTAAGAATGAAATGTTTGTAGGAAAATGTTACCTTACTGAGGGCCTTTTCAAGCTGAATGTAATAGTTGTCGAAACTAATAATAAAACTTCAGCTTCTTCTTACTTACTTGAGTCAAATAATTTATGGCATGTACGTTTGGGTCATGTAAATTATAAAACCTTGCGAAAAATGATTAACTTGGAAGTATTGACTAAGTTTGAATGCGAAAAATCAAAATGTCAAATATGTGTGGAATCTAAGTATGTTAAACATCCTTATAAGTCGGTTGAAAGGAATTCAAATCCTTTAGACTTAATTCACACAGATATTTGTGACATGAAGTCAATACCATCTCGCGGTGGAAAGAAGTATTTCATAA